GCAGGGAGGGGCTTCTCTCGGTCTCATACCTTGCTGCATATGTTTCTCTCTCTCATCAAGATCCGGCTGGTGACATGCCATCAGTATTCAACCACACCGTCAAGGAGACTTACATGCATGCCAAAGACCACAAGTGCTACGCCATCTGCTCCGATCCCTACCAGCTGTTTGTTGTGTTCTCAGTGGCTGTCCCCAATTACGCTCTGAGGTAAGGATGCCATGTCTGGCCGTGTAAATTGTCCATGCCATTGGCCAAAAAGGGCAAACATAAACCCTCATTCAAGTCTGAAGTCTTGATGGTTCAAGTCCAAGGGGACAAAGGCTAGCTGTGGACCCCCCAAACTCCAAGGCTCAAACTTTGTTTTGGATTAGGCAAACTTTTGTTTGAAATTAGGAAGTTTATTACACTCTCTGACTACAGAGTCACTGTCGAAGATAAATATAAATAGCAACCCCGTTATTGATAAGCTGTGTTCTCAACTTTTTATTATAAAAGGAAGGGCAAAGCCCCCATTTTGTGTCTCAGTCTTTTTTCAATTTGGGTTACCTACTTGTTAATGATTGTAGTAGCCTCAAACTTTGTCTTTCGATACAGGCAAGAAACAATGGCCAACTTTGGAAATATGACCAAACTCCACGAACCCAGAAATACTGAGCCATTGGATTATTTGAACAATACTGGCACCAATTTTCTCACCCCAAGCTAGTATTTTACAACACCCCAGGGAGTACTATTTGCTATGACATGGTGCAGAAAGTACACCTCCATGTAGAGCAAGCCATAGGTAGCAGCCACGCTCAAGTTCAACACACGACCAGCCTCCACAGATCTCTTGGACCCCATATTTACTGAACAAAGTGGGGCTTATCTGCTGTGTAAGTCCACCGGCAGTGATTCAGGGCTCAGTGGCGTGTTCAACACGTCTTCCAAAATGAACTGGTTAACCCACACTTTTAAGGAAACAACTTATCTATATATTGGTACTTTTATTTCCCCAGGTCAGTTTCTGTGGACTTGCTCGACATCCTCAGCAAAGGCAAGGTGTTCCTTGACCGAAGGAAATCAAGTTGATGGATGTAAACAAGACCAACCTGTGGTGTAAATAAGAGAAAGACTGAAATATCCATCGTCGCCAAAACCATCTCTCCTGCGCATTGTGCTTATGGCATCAGCCTTGAGTAATACTAGAGTGAAAAAAGCACAACAAATGGAGAATGGGGTGTTTGGATTCTAGCTGGATTGCTGAGGATGCTTTCATGTTGAGGAGCCAAATTCTTTTGTGAGGAACGTCGAGACCGAGTTTGGAGGACAAAAATTAGAAATTAGTCCCCATCACACTGTTGGTCTCCAGAAGATCTAAGTTTCAACATGTGTTGCCCTAACAACTACTGAACTAGTATACGTGTACTGTTTTCTAAGCTGTTCAAAGTTTGGTCACCCTCAGATGTGTGAACCATTGAAAGAGCCTGTTTGTTGTGTGGGCTACACAGGATTGTGCTTTATATGTCATATTCTTTTTCAGTATAATGTGTACAGTACTTACAAAGCCACCATCAGGCCCATAAAGCATTCAAGTGAAAGATCATTTGAGTATGTGTCTTTGCGAGGGGGCATTTATCTCCTTTGGCAAAAGTTTAAAAAGATAAAAAAAACCAGAAATTTTAAAAAGACATGAAAGGGGTTGAAAATCACCAGTTTGCTTGAAAAGGCCTAGAAATCAACCCGCTTTCATTGTGGAGGTTTATTTATAGTTGGTTGCTGACGAAATTCTTCCCGGGAAAAAAGGACCCCCCTCCAAAAAAGGTCCTGGAGACGCCCACCTGCCTTGTAAGGGGAGTATACAGATAAATGCTGCAATGTTTGTTGAAAATAGTTAAATGGAACTCATCCATCATGTCTGCCCTCATAGTTTTCTGTTTAGTCCTGACAAATTGTCTCACAGGCTAAGGTCACGTGCACTGCAATCCTTCAGGTTAGATGGATAGGATCTCATGGCCAGTGGAACTACCCGCAGTTTTTAAAGTTCAACATTGGGGATAGTGTAGCCACCAACATCTCATTTCAATCAATTCAATCAGAATTTCTTATATTCCCACATTAGCTTGTGACAATAAATACCATTGGCATGTTTTTTAGAAATGTCTTCTTTCGTCAGTTTCTTTCAAGGTTGTTGCATTATGCATCATGAGCAAGTATCTCAACAGTTTGAATACCACAGAATGCTCCAATGAGAGCATCGTTCGTTTCATCTGGGATCACCCACTGTTCCTACTGGCAGCAACTTGGGCACAACCTGTGTCCCAAATGGGAACAGTGGTCAGTGCCTTGTAAATGCTTCACTTAAAAATGCTCGCTCTCATAAAGAAGAACAGCAGAACTGTGCCAAAAGGACCCCAGTGTTCCTACAGGAAAGGAGCATTCCAGTTCAAACGTGATAGTTCCCTCTTCTGAGACCTTCCCTCATTCCTTGACATTTCTCAATTTTAACATGTGTTCCATGTTTTTGTTCTGTTTTAAGGATCCATTCTAACACAGTAAGAATGATAGACAAAATGATTAAATTCTGAACGTAGGTTTCACAATAATACCTCCCCATAATGAGAAACTTAAGGTTTAGCCGTAAGCTTGAGGATAGGTTGTAGCTATGAGATGTCAACGCCCTCCCACCCATTTAATGCATTACTTTTCTTGAGAGTTGGTAACTAATCCAAATTCATGAAAACATTCGTGAAAACTTTACCCCGAAGATCAGGAAAAGCACATCAAGAAATTAAGGTAGAACCTCGTTCACAGCTACGTTTCAAATGTTAATTTCAAAGGGTTAATTCACGTGACAGAGAGCCACAGTAGTACATTTTCTAACGAGTTGAAACGTAGATTTATACGTGAATTTGTAATTAGTCATTCATAAACTGGATGGATTCCTTGAGTCAGTATCGTAACCTTTTATTACTGCTTGTGTACGACATCGATCCTTTACATGGGATTATCCCATTATGGTTTTGTCGTCTACATGTACGTGTACATGTATATCATGTTCAGGCAATGGGATGGCTTGTTTGCCAATTAATTTTTCTACTGTCGTAGACTTCACATTGAAGAGAGCCTGTCATTGGTTAGTACGGATATTACACTGTAATTTTAAAAGATAACTCAGTCTGATTATGGGATAATTGATGCAAAAGAGTGAAATTTCATCTGGACCAGGCGATTTTTAGTAAAAAAATATGCTAATTTTAGGCTGAAGGAGTTTGAGAAAGAAAGGTTGATTCAGTAAGATCGTTCGAGTCACTACATTTACTCCTCATTTGTATTATCCCTAGTTTCAGTAGGATGGAATAACCTTTTATCATATGAGATCAATGAGGAAAGCTATTCAGTTTTGTCTATTCGGCCTCAAGCCCAATATTACCGAGGTAGACACGACAGGTTTAACACAACGAAAGCACATGCGCGTATAAACTGTCTTGCGCTTCCAGAAATGTCTGTAAAGGGACAGCCAATTTTATTTGAGGCTGTGGTGGGAGGGGGCGAGTGTGTCAGTCGGATTCTGTCCTTCTGTCTTTCCAGTTTTCAAAAGTAAATTCAAGACAAAAAAGTGCTCCACAGGGATTCCGCAATGTGTGCGCCTATGTGGGACATAGTTCATAAGTTTTTACCCTCTCGTGTGCACGTTATTGAATGCACATGGCCGGCGCACTGTAACACCTGATCTCGACGGCACTGGAATCACGAAAACAGTCGTTCAGAACTTCACTGATTTTGCCGGTACTCTCTGTGCACCCCTATGTCCGAACACATAACTTATTCTGTCTGTATTTTTGAGGTGAAAGATGACGACCGCAAGCAATTAGTGGGGAACTGGTGAAAAGTAGGAAGATAGCAAAGAACTGCATTGCGTTGAGTGAAATCCGACCATCTGCTCTTCAGAACGCGAACTGGATGTAGGGAGACAGGTCTTTTGACCACAGTGATTTTATTCCTTTTGTCTTTCTTATGCCCATCCCTTTGTGATGTACATTGTTAGCATGAATAAAATAATAATAATAATTATAGTAATAATGAATTGTACTGACAATCAGAGATTCAATAATCGTTTAGAAACGGAGAATTTGATTTGAAAAAAGAAGGAAGCCACAGTCACGTAGTCATCCAATCCCCAAAGAAGGCCGACATTGATGAGGATTATAAAATCCTATTCAACGAAGCAAACATTGTTAAAATGTCAAGAGAAATGTCAATGTTGGCAAGAGAGTCTCTGTGTACTGTTTTCAGGCCTTGATTTATCAAAGATGACAAACCTTTTGAAGTATGAGAAACAGGAAAAACATGAAAACATGAAGGAAAGTTATAAGACTATTGGCAAAGTTGATAATTACAGCGCAAACAGAAAGCACTACCAGCAGTGGCGGCGCCATGTGGGTGATAGAACAAACCACACTTCTTCCTTCCTATCCGCTCAAATTTCATCAGCTCTGAAACACTTCCCATTCATAAACCTAGAGTTAACGTACTCGCTACAAACCTCCAATTCTACTCTGATCCGTGCCCAGGAATAAGACAATTTTCTTTAAGACTTTTAATTCGGTATGGGAATGGAGGTAATAATGGTTCGTCAGAATTTATCAACTGTAAAGAAATTCTTTTCTGCTCATGCCAGATTTTCTAAGATATGTTCAAGTAAGCCACGTATTTTTGCGCGATTTCCGGACGCCGTCGTTTTTGGAACCTCAGATTTTTTTTACTGTGACTATTTGTCGTAAATAGGCCTATACGTTCTTTTATCCAACCTCTAGCCACCATTCCATGTGAGGAATTTAAAAAGAAGGAAATGACCCGCAAACGGCACATCATTCAAACACTGAACTGTAAAGAAATTTAGATATGCACTCAGACAGGTGTCCAGACGTTGACCAGGGACCCGTATCGAAGCATGTCCAGCAAATACCGATGCAGAGGCTAACACGTAGATCGGATAAAGTTAAAAACTGTGAAATAGACAAAGTCTTATTTTTGCTATGTGGTGCAGGAGGCATTACAACAGCATTTTAAATTACTCAATCTTTACAGAGCAGCATTATGTAATGAAACAGCCAATGGCTTTCTTTTCTTCCTTAAATATGCTAGGACAAAAACGGCTTCGTTGAAATGGCCGAGTGGTTACGCTCGCAGTTCTCAAATGTTTAGAATGTGGGTTCGAATCCCAGGATTGGCATTTTGTTTTCCCAACGTTTGCTGTCAGTCAGTAGCTATAAGAGACTCTAATTCACCCTCGTCAAATACCAACAGTACCTTAGCCAATCGGGTAAGCTCTTCTGCTGGGACTGTCCGCGAAGTCCAGGTGAGCGCCTTAGTACAGGTT